CTCTGTCTCAAAAAAAAAAAAAAAAATTTGGTAAGAGTTAAAGGAGGGCTGAAGGGATAGAAAGTGAGGCAGAAGATGCTATTTCAGAGGCCAGAGAAAGCTTCAGTGATAAGATGATATTTGAGCAGAGAAACTTAAAGGAAATAAAGGTACAAGCCACACAGATAACTGGAAGAAGAGAATTCCAGGCAGAAAATAGGACCAGAGGTAGAACCAGAGCTGTGTGTTCATTGGACATTTTTTATTACTCATAGTAATGCCAGTTTTACTTTAGCTTTGAGCTCCTCAAGATAGAAGCTGAAGATGGTGGAATCATGCCCTGTGGGTTGCGGTCACCAGATATCAGAGTTGTTAATTTTTACAAAAGTACTTTTAGTCACACCTATATATTTTTCAGGGAAGTTCATTACAATCCTTATTTCATTGATTTCTTTTTTGTTTTCCTCCTTATACTGTCTTCTCTCCAAGGATGGACACAAGGATTGGATCTTTTCCATTGCATGGATCAGCGACACTATGGCAGTGTCTGGTAAAGTTGCCCTTCTATAGGGAGCTTTTGATGTGGTGGGGAGGGAGGGCTAAAGGCTGAAAATGAATAGTAGTGTGATAGGATATAGCCCAGTAAACAGAAAGATCATTGGCCAAGTGCCAGAAAATGTTGTTTCCAATATTGGCTCTTTCTCTGACTTACCATGTGTCTTTGGATAAGTCATTTTCCCTATAGCCCAAACTCCTGTTCTCAAGCAATCCTCCTTACTCAGCTGCCTAAAATGCTGGGGTTACAGGCATGGGCCATTGAATACAGCCAGCCCCTGTATCTTAACTTCATGATCTGTAAAGTAGAAATACTAGTTTCTTGATCCATTATTCATAACTTTGTCTTACTCCAAAATTATGTGTATGAACTGTAACCTAGGATTTAAAGAAAAAAAGCATGTGTGGTAGCATGTTAGCCATAACATTTTTATGGAGTTTCATTGGGGTAATGGTTGTGAAAGTGTTTGGGAAAAGTTGGTATGCTCTCCAAAGTATCAGAGGCTATTATTAATTACTGTACAACTATTTGGCCTTAAATTCCTTGTTGATATATGGGAAGATTTCTTTTTTTTTTTTTTTTTTTGAGACAGAGCCTCAGGCTGTCCCCCTGGGTAGAGTGCCCTGGCCTCACAGCTCACAGCAACCTCCAACTCCTGGACTCAAGTGAGTCTCCTGCCTCAGCCTCTCAAGTAGCTGGGACCAAAGGTGCCCGCCACAACGCCTGGCTATTTTTTGAATGCAGCCGTCATTGTTTGGTGGGCCCAGGCTGGATTCGAACGTGCCACCTTAGGTGTATATGGCTGGTGCCTTAGCCACTTGAGCCACAGGTGCCGAGCCAAGAGGAAGATTTCTTTTCTAGCGGTTAAAACAGCCAGAAAAAAAAATGTGGATAAATGAGTATAGAGAAATTAATCTAGTGACATACAAATGCCTTCTGAGTATACTCTGTACTAGCCTAGAAAGTTGGCCCAGAGTGCTAACCAGCTTTGCTATTTACCCACAGATAAAAATATAGTTTTCCTCCTTCCGGGTTCCCAAGATAAATGGTACAATGGTCATTAAACTAAGAACTTGACATATATAATCCTCCACACAACATTAGGTTTGCATTATTAGCTTCATTTCACAATGAGAACATTTAGATTCAGAGAGGTTACTATAATTTGCCAGTGGCTATGCAAATAGTGACAGATGGAGTGAGGATTTGATTCCAAGTCTGTCTGATTTCAGAGCCCATCTATTTTTTTTTTTTTTTTTTTT